TAAAAGATATTAAAATTGATACAATTGAATGATATAATTTATTGTTAAAGATTTCTAACTTAATATCAAGTGTATATATTTTTTGATTAATTATAAAGTATTTGAGTCTTCTAAGATCAAGAACGAATATCACATAATCCACTTAAAAAAGCTAAAAATTATTAATAAAAAAATTAGTAGAGTAAAAAAAAAACATATATGTATTTACCAAAAATGATAATTTAAGTAAAAATTTATAAAAAATGATTATGAATTTATAATTAAAAATATTTATAAAAACAAAATAAATTAAATGATTAAATGAAATGTTTCTTTAATTAGATACGGTTTCAACATTGAAAAGTATAATCCTAAATTAGAGGACAGCAATTTTGAATTAAAAAAGTTAAATTAATCATAAAATTAATCTTCCTATCATTTATCAATTATCATTCTTTGGGGATTCTCAAGCAGTATCTAAACCTAATAGAAAACGTAATAATTAAATAAGAAGTCTAATTTAAATTTTAAAAGAGAGTGCTATTTTTTATCTCTCTTGTGGTAGGGGTTTTATATAGTATGTAAATAATTAGATAAAGTAAGCTAAAATATCTTATTAGAGAAAAGTGAATGGGTGTTAATTTTATTTAATTTAAAGCTTGCTTAACAATATTTAATTATAAATACATTTTAAATCTTATTTAAACAACAAAAATAACTTTTGAAACTGATACTAAATATTATTTTGTTTAATCATCTCAATTCTTAATATCAATTGGATCATTATTTAAAATAGGTTAATTTAGCAAATAATAAGTTAGATTTATCTTATTTAAGTAATCTAAACTCCTGATTGGATCTTAAAAAAACTTCTAGTTTTTACTTGTAATTAAATTATTTCTAATAGATATCAATCCTTTTTATTTTAATAAAGCTTGTAAGCACATGCCTGCTTGATTTACAAATTTTCCCTTTAAAATAAAAGCTCCTTATTCTTCAAAGCTCAATTTTTATTAGATAATAAGAAAAAGATAATATGAAACTAGATAAATTAAAAATCGATAGCACTATCTGGTATAATTAAATTCTCTTTATACCTTTTATCTAAATGTTAATTTTATTATCCTTTCTTAGGCTGTTTTAACATCCAATAATTCATAATCTAAACATTAATATTAGAGGATGAGGGTAGAATTTCTCTTTTAAGTTTATTTTTACAACTTTATATCTTTTCAAGGTTCTCAAAGTTCATTAGTTTAAAATACAAAAAGTATTTTCTCTCTCAATAAATTAAAAGATTCAAGCTACGCATTAGTTCATATGATTTAAAATTAGTTGATTTTTCCTTTATTACAATCAAATCTCAATTTCCATAAGATTTTGTTTATATCTTAACTTTAATGTATTAGCTATTTTTGATTTATAATGTAAAACTTAAAAGTAATAGAAATTCAATATTATTTAAAAAAAGAAATGGAATAGAAAGAAGATTTGTATGATTTCTTAGTTTCTTGTAAAGTTTTTGACTAATAAATATAAAAGGTGATAATTGAAATGTTGAAAAAAGACTGTTTAAAATATCTTTTAGATGATGAAAATCTCTCACGTTGTTCATAGTTCATTTTAAACGCAATGATTAAATAAAATGCCGATTAAGAAGATGTTGTGAAAAATAAAATGAAGATAATGATGGATTTTTTGAACTAAGTTAAAGACCATGACTTTAATAATAAAAATTATTGTGAAGACTTCTATGAAGAATTTAGAAAAGATTTAATAAAAAAACTATCAAAAGATGATTAAATAGTCTAATTGTTAAAATTTTTCGTACTACTCACAACTGTCGATGAATCATTTATTTAATGCGGATCAAATGCACTTAATTTATTAGTAAGTATGAAAGTTGATTTGACAAGCTGTTGCTTCGAAGACATTTGGATCAAGAATAGTAGCTTGATAGGTGCAAATTTTGTAAGATGCAATTTAAGTAGATCAAAATTTGAAAATGTTGATATTAGTGGAGTTAATCTAAATGGAGCTCTAATGTTCAATTGTATGTGGAAGAACATAAAATTACATGAGCTGAATTAATTGGATGGTCATACTCATTATGTCCAATCAGTATGCTTCTCACCAGATGGAACTACTTTAGCATCAGGAAGCGATGATAAGTCAATCCGTTTATGGGATGTTAAATCAGGATAATAAAAAGCCAAATTAGATGGACATAGTAATAATGTCAATTCAGTATGTTTCTCACCAGATGGAACTACTCTAGCATCAGGTAGTAGTGATAAGTCAATCCTTTTATGGGATGTTAACACAGGA